ATGTGGATTAGATGGCTCAAAGCGAAAAGAAGATAGATGGAAAGTCTTGAAAAATATTTAAACTAACTGCAATTAGTTGCCACAACTACCACTTAAGGCTGCTTTGACTTGCAAATCATATTGTATGTTGGAAGAGAAAGCTTTGTAATTATAGCTTGTAGAAGCTGCGGATCAGGAAAGAACTTTTTTGTAGGGGAGAAAAAATAATCTTCCCTCTACCCTTCTGCATTCTTAGCTGAGACCCCTGTAATAAAAAACAAGATAACAAGAGAAAAAAAAACCAAACAGGTTTATTAACAGGTATACCTCATGTAAAATGAGTAATCCAGCAGGTGGGTTAGATTTTAGGATTAAATACCATTTTAATAGGAAAAGGGGAGGGTGAATATAGAACTCTTAGAAGAAAGTAAATGATTTATAGGAAAGACGAATGGGCTCTTAGAAGAATAGATGGGCCCTGGCCAGTGTGGGTCAGTTGGTTGGTGTGTCATCCCGTACATCAGAAGGCGGTGTGTTAGATTCCCAGTCGGGCACGCGGGGGAAGCAAGCTATCAATGTTTCTTTCTCTCTTTAGAATCAATTTTAAAAATGTCTTTTAAAGAATGGGAAGTAGGATAATTTGTGACAAAGTTTGTCAAGAGTGTGGTGTTGGCTTTTAGTCTTCTCTCCTGCTTCTGCCTGCATTTACTGCCTTTCAGATGCCTTCATCTCAAAGTGATCAATGTACTTAAGTGGCATATCTTAGGGTGGCATGTTCTGCTACCCTTCAGGGTGATGTAGGTTGGAGTAACTATGGCCATTGGTTCACCATTGCTGTTGTATTCATCTTGTTTCCTTACAATGGGATCCCAGTTTTGGCTGGGCATAGATTTATCAGCAGTAAGATGTAAGATCTGATAAAGCTGCTTAATTGAATACAGAGAAAAAATCCTTTACATTTTCTTCCTGTATGCTCTCCTGAGAACGCATTCCTTTCCATTCCATGGTTCTTCTTTAAGCTATTGGCTTTTAAATTAGGTGTCAGTCTGTTCAATGCTGCTCTGCCTCTGTATCTATTTTTGTTCATCAGTTTATAATGGTCTTTATTATCTGCAGACTGTCAAACTACAACGGGAAAGCCGGAGAGGGTTGGGGGGGCGGGGGTTAAGAGATCAACCGAAGGACTTGTATGCATGCATATAAGCATAACCAATGGACATAAGACACTGGGGGGTAGGGGAGGCCAGGGGATTGTCAAGGGCGGGGAAAAAAGGAGACATATGTAATACTCTTTGTAATACACTGGGGGGTAGGGGAGGCTGGGGGAAGGTCAAGGGGGAAAAAAAGGAGACATATGCACTACTCTTTGTAATATTTTAAGCAATAAAACAAAGTTAAAAAAAATTAGGTGTCAGGATGACTGCAGGAGAACCAGTTAAGGAGTTGGTTAAAATATAGATCGTAAGATTTTTATTTTGTGGGTGTGAAGGAGGTGACCAGGAGTCTGCATTTTTGAAAAGCTCTCCATGATGCACTCAGATGTGAAATCAGGTTTAGGAGACACTCTTACAGATTATTGCTACAGAGCTGCAGTAGTACCCTTTGACATTCCAAGTCTTTCCCTTCTAAGCCACTGTACATCCCCATTTCCAGGGTGGCATTTAAAACATACATACGTACATGCGTGATTTCACTAAGGCCTGTTGTTATTGTCAACAAAAGAACATCCAAACCTATAAAAATATTGGTAAGACTTTATTAGAGTTTATGTGAGCCAAACTGAGGACATGCCCTGAAGCAACATCTCAATGGATTGAGAAAATGTTTTGGAGAATGGAACTTTGGCAGTTCTTTTTATGCATTTAGAATCGAAGAAGAAACTATCAGGAAGGTTACATGAAATCCATTGGTGGTTAATTGAGGAGGCAGGAGAAAGCAAAACGGGAAAATCTCTGGGACTGCATAAAAAGCAAAATAGAAAAACACATACTTCCTTTACCTTGGTGGGTGTAGGATAGTTAGCATTTAACAGGAACAGTAAGTAGAGGTGGGAGGAGGGCAAAAGGTAACAGTGAGGAGTTTGGTGCATGTGTTCCTGTGAGGGTCTAGAAAAGATGACTCTGGCAGGCCAAAGGTATGCCATCCCAGATGCACAAGAACAATGGACAGGCCTTGCTTAGGTAAGAGAACCTTTTACTAAGGAAGCTATAGTGCTGGGGTGTGACTACCCACCACGACCTACCCAGTGGGAATTTATGATCAGATCATCCTGTGTGGTTGCTTTTGATCACCGAGCTTGTCAGGCCTGACATGTAGCCCCTTTCTCGTTCACAGTATCATTGTCCTGAACAACAATTCTGATAATTTCTCATGAAAATAAGTTGGATAATGTCCTACTGGAGAGTTTCCTGAAGGTGATACCAATAAACTCCTTATCCTTATAACACTTAGTATAGAGCTTTCCATATGTTAGAACATTTATTCACAATTTAAGGGTTTCATATTCATGAATGAGACAAGTGAGGCTTTGGTAAATAAAAGGTTGCGTTTCTCTTTTACAACTACTTTCTGGTATGGATGGCAACATTTACTCACTTAATGCAAGTTCAGAAGGCCTTTTATTTTTCATATTATAGTAAGAGAGATAATAAAAATACCATTTTAACCATTTATTATGATTCAGGCACTAGAAATAAGTGATTTGCATGCATGGTTCCATTTAATTCTTTCAATGGTTCCATGAGGTAGGTGAAGATATCTATGTAAACCAAGGGTCTAAATTTTTAAGAGATTTGTCCAGTCACATGTAGATCTTAAGTTTTTGAGCTGAAATTTCAACCCAAGTTCAGTGATTTTATTTTTCCGTTTTTTGTTCTTGGCCACTGAATATCAGCATAAAAAAAGTACAGCAATAGGTCATTTCTATTTCTTACTAGTTTTTCAAAAGAAGAATAGAATTTCCTAGGAGTTTGATAAATCATGCATGCCACTTTTTTTTTTTTGACAGACTACATAATAAAATGATAGCTTTCCATTTTTAACCACATTTTTAGAAAAATATGAATCTGAGATGGAAAATTAAAAACTATGCCACAGTTGTGTAGGTCCTGGTCAGAGAATGCCTGTTGAGTTTGGGAGTGTGACTTTCTTTCTGCATTGCTTATGGAATGCTTGAAGTCACTCTGCTCCACTGGCTTTCGTTTTCTCCTATCGCCAAAAGGTGACAGGTGAGAGGCCTTGGAGCTAGAAAAGAACTAATATAGGTTTCTCTCTTTAAAAAAAAATCCCTGTTAATTATAACACCTGCCTAGGAAAGTCACATGGTAAATCATGGAATTCTGTTTGCTAACTTCTAGGAAATCACAGGGAATCAGTTAGTGGTCAGTACATTGAAAAACAGGTCCCTCACTGTTGTCTTTTTGTTCTCAGCCAGTATGAAGAACCTGGTAGCAATGATAAAATGTCATAATGTCATAATCAGAGCACACATAGATCAGATATAGACTTATAATATGTAGTATAGAGATATAGATAGATAATAAAAAGTGATACTTTTTATTCTTTATTCTTGGTGTCACTAAGAATATCTGTTTTATTACAGAATTGAAACCAAGAGAAATTTCTTTAACCAGGGGGTACTTTTTTAAAAAAATATTTCTTTTCTACCATGAGGTTACAGATGTGATCTAGTTATAGGAGGACAGATGTGCTGGTAACATTTGTGAATCTTGCTTTGGGAAACATGTTCCCCTGGTCTTTCATCATGAATCATCTGGATTTATGTGAAACCTTTGATGCAGTCATCAGTAAGTTCCTGGAGAACAGGGACCATGTCTTAATGATTTCTTGCATCTCCAATACTGTGTAGAGGTAGCATTTAGTAGGACCAGTTGGCTCAATTTTACAGCAGGCTGATCAACTCCATGAGCTGCTGTTACCATATACATATCGCTGTGCTAGCGATCCATATGTAGGGTCTCTGGATATTCTGTATTACCTGCATGACCAACCCATCAGCCCTCTCTGTACTATTAGTTCTGATTTATTAATTGCCTGAACAAATGTTGGTTACAGATTAAAGTGTAGACTATGACTAGTGTGACAGAAAACATTTACTCAAGTTATGGTTGAGCTTTTTGGATGATAGGGTTAACCTTGAATATAATCTTTATAAATAAGTAGAATTAAGACCATTAGGGAAGTATAGCTTTTAGAAAACTAAATATAATGTGGGACTGTGTATGTGTCAGTTTTTTGGGAGGGAGAATAAGAAGGGGGACTCATTGTGAGTCAGCAACATACTGCTTTATTTTCTTATTGGGTGCATACCGCCAGTTAACCACAGGAGCATAATACGTGGGAACCGCTGGGTAACATTTCCAAAATACTTAGCATTTGTCAGACGGTTTTATAATTCTGTGGCAATTAGATACCGAGGAGCATTGGAAAATAGGACCTATTGAAAGAGGCTAATAAGTAAGGATTAGTTGCTTAGCCTGAGCCAAAGCACTGAGTGGTGATTAAATTAATGGTCTTCGGTGGCATGTATCGTTATTATGTAGATGATATAATTATCTCCACTATGAATAGAATTAAGGAGATAGATTTACATTAGAGTTAAAGGAGATTTTGAAGGAGCGAAAACTAACTTTAAGGATTGCTGGACAGTGGAAAGACTTCTCAACAGGATAGGAGTGGGGGTGGATATGCATGCTATTAGACTTAGATGCAGTTGGGGTGCAGATTGACAAACTTTCTAGATCCCATTCTGTGCTGCTCTTCTCACATTGTGTTTGACATGTTCAGCGAGCAAATCAGTATTCTCTTTTTATTTATATTTTTCATAGTTATTACAAATGCCAAGACCTTGCTTTTAATGATTCTGTAATGCACCTCAAGCAAAAGAGAGGCTAAACCACAAATGGAAAATTACTTCACCTGCAAGTCAACTTGCTGCTCATTTTTATACGGGCCCTTAGAATGTTCTCAGTTCCAACTTGCCTTTTCTTTTTCTTCCTTAGGAAACTTATTGTGCACCCTCCTCCCTTGTTCTACAATGAGTGCCAAGTCGACCATCAGCAAGGAGATTTTCGCACCTCTTGACGAAAGGATGCTGGGAGCTGTCCAAGTCAAGAGGAGGACAAAGAAAAAGATTCCTTTCTTGGCAACTGGGGGTCAAGGCGAATACTTAACTTACATCTGCCTGTCAGGTAATGAAAGCCAGATACTAATATTATTAAAACAACTTCTCTTTTAAAACAGTTCCTTCTGAGGAACCCAGGAGGGTTATATACACAAGTTCTGTACATGTCTGCTCTGCTCGTGCGCTCTGCTTTTCTGTTGTCTGCTCTGACCCTTACGTACTCATGGCACTTCTACTTCTGAGATTGCCTTATATGGGAAAGGTAAGGAAGCTGAATGTTCATGTATTTTCTGATTCATTCAGAGCTTCTGTAAAGGATTTGGCAGACACAGCTGCTTGTCCATACTTCCTTCACTAGGACATTGGGAGAATGTGGGCTAGCCTTCGGGATTTTTGTTTTAGAACAATTCCTGATATTTGGATAATTGTCCTTACCAGCAGCCTGAGTTTCATTGAATTTCTTTTTCTTAACAGTTGCCAATAACCAGTAATAGTTTGTCTTAAGATAACTATCGACGCAGTATGAAATGTGAGGAAGTAGTCTGAGCTCATAGATCACTTCTTTGCCTGACAGCTGTTCCTTGTCAGAAAGACATCTGTGTCTATTAAGCCTAGTATTGTGTTAGATTATAATTTTTCCCTTTCTTTTTGTGATTGTAGGAGATCTGTGGGATTTACTGTGGACTTACACCAAGTTTTTTTGAGATAAAATTTGGATACATTTTCCATGGAGTTATGGGACATTTGTAATATTTCTGATATTTCTTGTAACTGGGCAATGGAAGAATTAAGCTTGCCTTAATTAATTTATTTTTTAAAAAATTTCCTTTAATTGTGGCTTGGGAATAAAACTTTTTTGGACTCATTTTTAGCTTAAAAAAATTAAGCCTGTGATTATTTAAGTTTATCACAATTTATTGCAGGGTAGAGAGAGCTTTTTTTTCCCAGAAAGAATATGTAAAGATAATAATAAGACTGTATCTTAGTAAAAATTGAAATGAGAACAACCCTGGCCAATGTAACTCAGTTGATGGAGTGTCATCTCAAGCACCAAAGAGTCGCGGGTTCTATTCCTGGTTAGGGCATAGACCATCCATCTTTTCTTTGACTACTGCCTTTAAAAAAATCTCAAGTTGAGGGTTTGGGGAATGCATGGGAGGCAATCAATTGGTCTTTCTCTTTCTCTCTCTCTCTCCCTCCCTCCCGTCCTTCCTCTCTCTCTAAAAACAATATCCTTGGGTGAGGATTAAGATAAATAATTAAAAATAAATAAAATAAAATGAAATGAGAACATAGCCCCTTTGGTAAGAATACCATCTCAATGGTTAAAAGAAAGCTTTTATTTAAATGAGTGTTAGAGAATTGACCTCACACTCATTTAAATATTGGTCTCTATTTTTAATCCCAAATAAAGATTAGGTTAATAAAATCTGGTTATTGTTGGAGGACATTTGCATGCCTTTAGTGTGCTGGACAGTGCCTGGCATATAATAGGGGCTCTAGTCATATCCAAATGACTAAATGAAAGAAAGAGGTAGTCATTCCTAATACATTCCTAGTATTTTGTTACTGAGACTTAGGTCTTAAAATTTTTTTCATATTCTTAAATTTAGGTTCTAGAGCAGTGGTTCTCAACCTTCTGGCCCTTTAAATACAGTTCCTCATGTTGTGACCAACCATAAAATTATTTTCATTGCTACTTCATAACTGTAATGTTGCTACTGTTATGAATCATAATGTAAATATCTGATATGCAGGATGGTCTTAGGCGACCCCTGTGAAAGGGTGGTTCGACTGCCAAAGGGGTCGTGACCCACAGGTTGAAAACCACTGTTCTAGAGCTTTTGCTTGTACCAATTAAAAGAGAAATGTGTTATAATATATTTATTGTGTTGGCTGAGCTGAACATGGATACATAGTGATTCTAATTTTATTTAGCAGTTTTGCTTGCATTTGAGGCACATGCTATTATTGTTGGCATATTTCAGATCATATAGTCTGCAAGAGTGATATGGGGATCTTAACTGCTTCATCTCATGGAGCAGCATAACCATTTCCCCTGCCGTAGGAGATGATGACTGGATAACTGCATTTCCTTTACAAATGGTTTAAAGTCTGAAACTCTGAGAATTGCTCGTTCATTGTAATGGAGGAAAATCTTTTGTTCTGAAAGTCTTCATCCTTTTAATGTACTTGAATTTTGAGAGGACAGGTTGATAAAATAGATCTGACATTTAAGCAGATGCGTTCATGGAAACGGGCAGGAGAAGGCCAGGCAACTTTGACACCCAAACATTTTTTGCAGTTTGATTTTTCTTAGAATTGAGACAGAAGCAGCTACCTTTATTTTCTTATGTGAAACGTAGAGGAATATCATTCACATCTCTGATAAGGTAATGTTTTTATTAAGAAGTAATTCATTAGTTACTCAAATATTTATTAAGTACTTTTTATGTGCTGACCACTCTAAGTGCTTAGGGGTTCAGATATGAGAAAAACTCATGAAGCTTACCTTGTTTCATGGGGAAGGAGCAATAAACATTAATAAGTTACTCATTAAAAATGTAATCATTAACCAAAAGAAGGTTAACAAGGAAAAATATAATGAGATGAAGGCATGTGTAAGGAAATTTGGTCTGGTTGGGAGAACCCAGAGCTGCTTCACGGATTCTGAAAAGATAATGGTGGTGGTTCAGAGAGCATTCCAGGGAATGGCAGGGAGCCTCATTAAAAGGCTCAGCTGGATTTTGAATTTTTCCTTTTCTCTCACTCATTTGAAGGATGACCCCTTTGTAGCTGAACTCACCTAGGAGGCTGTGCAGTGAGAGCAGAGTCCTTGAAGGATAGCTTCCTTCCTGCTATGAGTGTGAGCCACCTCCTGCTTTCTAGGGAAGCCAAGCCTTTCAACTCTCATGGTTTGGTTGATGAAAACCAGCTACCCACTTTGAACAGGCAAAATCTGTATGAATTAGGGCAATATCTGCAAATAATATTTCACCACTTTTAAAATAGTATAAATAGTTGTGTTTTTTTTTTAAAGGGGAAGAATATCATAGTTTTAAATGCTTGCCAACATATGCATGTAAGACATTGATATCCAATGTCTTTTCCTAATGTTTCTTTGTGTGAATCCCTGCCCCCTCCCAGTGTCTGGCAGAATTTATAATCTGAGAGGAAGACATTATATAATCTGTGAACATGAGACATTATTTTCAGAGTGGGTTGTATATCCTCTGTAGGAATATAAAAAGATTCTGGAGTGCAGGAAATAAGATTATCTTTCTTGAGTTATTTAGTTGTAATTGGGTAAGCAGAGAAAAAGAACTTCCAGTTCATTCATAGAATTTGAGTTTTTCTCATTGGATTTCCTGAATGGATTCTTGAATAGTGTGAAAAGCTTATGTACTGACATGATTCTGTTAATTAGCATTCTTAAAGCACTGATTTCTAATTTTTCTTCTTGGCAATGGCTAAAGTTTAAAAGACCAACAATACCAAGTATTGACAAGCATGTGGAGAAATTTAAGCTCTCATACTTTCTTGGGCAGAGGGGATGTAAAAATGATCTGAGCACTTTGCTAAACAATCTGGCATTTTAAAATAAAGTCAAACATCTACTTATGTGACTCAGCAATTGTGTTCCTAGGCATTACCCATCTATACTAATAAAAGGGTAATATGCTAATTAGACTGGGAGACCTTCCGGACAAAGCCATGGTGGCAGGGCCGAGGCAGAGGCAGGTTAGGGGCGATCAGGCCGGCGGGGGTTGGGGGCAGTTGAGGGCGAGCAGGACGGCAGTTGGGGGTGAGCAGGCTGGTAGGCAGAGTGGTTAGGGGCGATCAGGCAGGCAGGCAAGCAGTTAGGAGCCAGTGATCCCGGATTGTGAGAGGGATGTCCGACTGCCGGTTTAGACCCGATCCCACATGGGACCGGGCCTAAACCGGCAGTTGGACATCCCCTGAGGGGTCCCAGATTGGAGAGGGTGCAGGCTAGGCTGAAGGACACCCCCCACCCCGTGCACGAATTTTGTGCACCGGGCCACTAGTAAGAAATAAAAGCATATATCCACATAAAGACATGTATATAGAAGTTTACAACAGTCA